GACCCAGCTATTCCTCTTCTCAGACTATATTCAAAGGACCTAAAAACAGCATACTACAGGGACACAGCCTCATCAATGTTTATAGCAGCACAATTCACAATAGCTAAACTGTGGAGCCAACCTAGATGTCCCTCAGTGAATGAATGCATAAAAAAATGTGGCATTTATACACAATGGAATATTATTCAGCACTAAGAAAGAACAAAATCATGGCATTTGCACGTAAATGGATGGTGTTAGAGAAAATAATGCTAAGTGAAGATAATGCTAAGTAAACAAATGCCGAATATTTTCTCTGCTGCAAGGGGGGTGACTCAAAGTGGGGTAGGGAGGGAGAGCATGGAAGGAAGATTATTTCTAGATAGGGAAGAGGAGTGGCAGGGAAAGGGAGGGGGAAAGGGGATTAGCAAGGATGGTTAAATGTGATGGTCATCATTATACAACATACATGTTTGAAGATTTGAATTTGGTGTCAACATACTTTATATACAAACATGAAAAATTGTGGTATATATGTGTATTAAGAATTATAATGCAAAAAAGAGTACATGTATAATGGTATAATTTGTCGTGAACATACTTTATATACAGAGTTACAAAAAATTGTTTGGTATATGGGTAATAATGAGTGCAATGCATTCCACTATTGTCATATATTTAATAAATAAGTAAATTATAGGTAAATGCTTAATTGCCCTAAAATGCTCTAGTCTTCCACACTGAACCTTTGGTCTGGGGCAACTTCACCAATTTTCCTTCTGCCAAATTCCTCCTTCTCCTTTAAATTAAGGAGTAAATATTTGTATTATGTAACAATCACTATAATTGCAGAATGGAACTTTTAAGTGAACCATAATCACAGAATAGAACATCTCCACTTTCTCCATTAGCTGCTAGCCTGTAGGAGGGGGGTGATTGTTATTCCCTTCCTTCTTCACTCTCTTCCTTTTCCTCAGAACTATTGCAGAAATGGAAAACAGAGCTTTCAGGGAGCTTTCAATCTCTCTTGTGCTCTCAAGTCAACTAGTGTATTCTTGAGTGATCTCTGTCTTTGAGAGTCCCCAAGGGAGAAGATAGCAAATGTAAAATAAATTGCTCATGGACTCCTCCAAATTCTTAGCTAGTCATTGTTGTTTGAAGATTTTTGGAAAGACAAAACCCATACCACCATACCAAAGGTCTTAGAATTTCCTTTTTTTTTTTTTTTTTTTTGGTAATGGGGGTTGAACCCAGGGGCACTCAACCACTGAGCCACATCTCCAGCCTTTTTTTAAATTCAAAACGTTTTGTTATATATGACAACAGAATGCATTATAATTCATATTACACATATAGAGCACAATTTTTTATATCTCTGGCTGTACACAAAGAAGAGTCACATCTTTATGTCTTCATACACGAAATGATGACCATCACATTCCACCATCTTTCCTACCCCTATGCACCCTTATTCTCCTCCATCCCCTTTTCCCCTTTGCCCTATCTAGAGTTCATTTAATCCTCCCATCCCACACCTCCTGCAGGATATTTTGAATCAGCATCCTTAAATCAGAGAAATCATTCGGCATTAGGTTTTGGGGGATTAGCTAATTTTACTTAGAATTATATTCTCCAGCTCCACCCATTTACCTGCAAATGCCATGATTTTATTCTCTTTTAATGCTGAATAATATTCCATTGTGCATGTATACCACATTTTCTTTATCTATTCATCTGAAGGGCACTTTTTATACTTAGAGAAAAGGTCTTTTATAGTTAGAGACAGGGTCTTTTATACTTAGACAGAGTCTCAGCTAAGTTGTTTAGAGCCTCGCTAAATTGCTGAGGCTGGCTTTTAACTTGTGATCCTCTTGCTTTAGCCCCTGAGCAGCTGGGATTACAGGCTTGCATGTGCCATTGCACCTGGTAAAAGTCTTTTTGTTAATGAAAGGATTTATTTCCCTCCAGTGTTTGTTTGTTCTCATTTACTGAGGCTTGAATTCAGATACAGAAGGCATTTCAAAACTGTGATTCTATCTCCTTATGTCATTTCAATATCTGTTAATTAGTGGTTTCTGCAAGAGTAGTAGTCTTTAAATAATATATTTAGATAAGAGTTATTTGGTGACCTCTCTGACCTGCTTTCATGGATAATAAAGTTTCTGTGTAATTGGTTGACTTGTCAATACTTCAAGGAAAAAGCTGGAACACACAAACCAGTCTTTCTGTCTTTAATTAACTTTGTTTTGAGTTAGCTCTTTGGGGTATTGAGCAAGCTCTGGGTTCCCTTGAGAATTGTGCAGCTGTGAGATGTCTTCTGGGTGCTGAGTCCCAGGGAATGAAATGAGCCAGCCACACCCATGCCCAGGTCCATTTCTTCTCCTAGGAGCATGATTTGGCCCCACTGTACAGCTCCTGCTGTATTCTTGCCCCACCAATTTTTGTTTCTCTTTGTTTGTGATAGCCTACTTCCTAAGTATTGTTAGGAATTTGATAGCAAACAGAACTTAGTGTACTTTGATAAAATTGCTACTTTAAGATTTTTCCGGGAACACCTAACAGAGGTTCTAATAGGTTGTTAGAGGTGCATAGAGCCTTTGTTAACAGAATTTAATAATCAGGCTTAGAAGTCTGTAATTATCAAGTATAGACCTGTTCTCAGTTGCCTTTGACTTCCAGGTGACTCTCAGTCCCAACAGCAGTTTCAGTGACTTGTAAAGTCTTCAGAAGTCAATGCAGAGTTCATCTGTTATTCGTCTTTGTCAGTGTTTTAAGGAGCTAAGTTGGTATTTCAGAGTTAGTAGGTACACCATCTTCCTAAAATTCTTTCTCTTTGAACTTTGAAAATTTTCTTCCTTCTAGTTAAGCTCTTCACTGATACCTAAAAGTGAGTGCAAACTATGTACATTAAGAGTTACTTTTTTTTTTTCCTTTCTTGGACTCAAGCAAATATAGAAGTTCTTGATTCAAGAGTCAAGCTTCGCTGGAAACCATCCCAAACCCCAACTATGTGCGCTCTTCAGGTTGTCAGGATGCGAGCCACTCTGTGGATGTTTTGATGTCATCCCCCTCCTTCCCCACCAATGTCCATGTAACTTAGATTCTGTACATGTGACCTACTCTGCCCCCGCCACATGGAAGACTGTGTTCCTGTGTGAGAACACCAACAGTGCCCATCTGTGACCTGCTCCCCTGACTCCCCCAACCTGGGAGGGTGGAGGGTAGAAGCTATAGATGAGGCCTCTGTACCACCAGCCAGATCTCATGCCCACAAGTGTGAAGTGGAAGTTAGAACCAACCCTTCTTTCTCTGGACCTCACATCATCAGTACCAATGTAAAAAACCACACAATCCCCAGCAAAGGGTGGTCTCCTTAAGAATGTATTATTTTTGGTACATTCTGAAAGCTCCCTTGACGTTGAATATATCCTCTGACAAAGCAAACACACATTCTCTACATTTCCATGGCATTTCAATACTTTAAAGTTTTTTTTTTCACTAGCATCATACCATTTAATCTTTAAAAGAAAACTTTTTAATGTTTTTATTACTGCATTATAGTTATACATAATGGTTGGTATCATTTTGACATAACCATACATGCATAATATTTGTCTCGCTCCATTTCAGTCCCCTGTGCCTCCTTTTCCCTCCCACCCCCTTCCTCTGTAAAGCTGTAATGATTTGATAGAGTGATTTCATTAAATCAAATAATCAACAGGTTCAGAGAGTTTGAGTGACTTTCTGAAGGTCACAGAGTAAGTAGTAAGTTGTTTTACACTAAGTCTAGTGTCCTTTTTACAAAATCAAAGAGATCATAGATATAGCAATAACACTTTTGAAGAGAGCTATCAATCTTTTAAATAAAAATAAGAATAGAATACAATATCGGAGATAAAGCTCATAATGTAGATCTTCTTCTGCTACTGGGAAAGCATCAACAAATGGGTCTGAACATATCCAAAATATTCAATTAATCCAGGATTATAGACTTGGTTTAAGTCATGGTTGTTTATAGAAAAGTTCTAGATAGAAAACAATTTTTGCAAAAAGGTATGTACATGTATCTGTATCTACTTAGAAGATATACTTCTTGGGGGTGTTTATGCCATTGCTAAGTTACCATCTTAAATGATGTGTTCACAGTTACCTGCATTCCCATGCCCCCTGGACTTTAAGAGTCATCACATAATTTTTAACAAAAAAGAGTGACACCTTAGTCAGTTGTAATCATTAACTGTCTAGCCCATAAAGGGCCTTCATGAATATAAATCACAGATTTTTAAAATATGGTCCAGGAAGAGTTTATTTTCCACATTTACTATTCAAACCTCACATTTATCACATAAACATAATACCTGATTTTATTTAAGAGAGCAATTACATATTCACTGCAAAGAAAGAGTATAATGGCAGTAAACAAAACATTTCCCATCATGGTATGAGAATGTGTGACATTTCCTTTTAGTTACTAAGAAATTCCCTGGATTCAAAAGTGCTGAACATTCTACATTTTTAAACCTGAGACTATCCTTTACCACACTATGGTGTTGACCTTGACTTTGATACATTTTACAGAAAGGAAAGTACAGACAGTGGAAATAGAGACAGACACAGATGACTTCAAGCACAATTGCCTGCTGTGTTTATGCTGGGGACAGGTGGAAGATCCCCTCCACTTAGTGTAAATGACTGATGGTTAAAAAGAGAGAAAAAATATATAAGAACTCACAAGAAATAGCCTTCCTCAGTAGGAAAGATGGCATAAGTCATATGCTTAAGATGAAAAGCTTACTAGCCTCAATCACCTGCTAATGTTCAATAACTCTCACTTGGATTCTAAACATTTGCTTGAAAAAATGATTTCACAGGAATTTCTGATTTTCCAGAGAAAGCTTGTATGTGTAATTTTATTGATTCCATCTCTAAGGAACAGAATTGATGATGCTTTTCTGGCTGGTATTCTTGATGATATGAGGAGGAGTCGGAATACTGCTCCAAGGCAAGGCATCTGGATGGTCTCAAAATGTCAGGACGGTCCGGATACTGAAACAGGAAGGAAAAGACATTTTTATCAGTTAGGCAATTCACACTCTTCCGTGTGAGTGAATTAAACATTTGATGTGTCTCAGTGAAAATCTGTGTTCCCAGACATTCCTCTGCCATCCTTGTGTATTAAGTTCCTTGTGTATTAAGCTAATATAAGGCAATTTGTCTTTTCTGGTACTCTCTTGTGTTTTCTCCAATCTTAAACTCACTCACAACACCCTGAATACAGCTACCACTTAGAGTTTAGTTCAACATTAGAATCCTTTAAACAAAACAATATATTTTTTGAGTCTGTATGCCTGCCATAAAATATGAAAATAAGTAATAATTTGTAATGCATTCCTGTTATTTGTCATGTTCTTTGTGGATGCTTTTCAAACATTATCTCATTTAATTTTCAACCTAAACAATAATACTACTAGGTAGTTTTTCATATTATTTCCATTTTAGAGATGATAGAAACTGAGACTTAGATTTATAAACTTGCTCTAGTCACACATCTAGCATGGGGTTGGGATTCAAACTCAAATACAAATTATAAGATGATAGATAACTTGCCTAAGGGAACTGATAGGTTAGTAAAGTTAAGGCCATGTCAAAGGTTTAATAGAGCTTTGGTGCAGAGATGGTTAAAGATTCTTAGAAGTAGATGATAAAGTTGGTACAGATTAATTCTAAGAGAACTTCATTCTTGGGAATATTGGAAATGTAACATTTATATGGAAACTAATGCCAATGTGAAAAACCACCTTCTAAGAAATACAGATGGTCAAAAAATATATGAAAAAGTGTTCAACATCTCCAGCAATTAAATAAATGCAAGTTAAAACTACACTGACATTCCACCTCACTCCACTCAGAATGGCAATTATAAAGAATACAAGTAACAATTAATGTTGGTGAGGATGTGGGGAAAAGCTTCACTCATACATTGCTGGTGGGACTATAAATTGGTGCAACCAATCTGGAAAGCTGTATGGAGATTCCTTAAAAAACTTGAAATGGAAACACTATTTGATCCAGTTATCCCACTCCTCAGCTTAAACCCAAAGGACTTAAAATCAGCATACTACAGTGATGCAGCCACATCAATCAATTCACAATAACCAAGGTATGGCCCTTCAACAGATGAATGGATTTAAAAAGTGGTATATATACATAATGAATTATTACTCAGCCATGAAGAAAAATGAAATTATGGCATTTTCCTGTAAATGGATGCAACTGGAGAATATGCTAGGTGAAATAAGCCAGTCCCCAAAAAACAAAAAACAAAGATTGAATATTCTCTCTGATATGTGAATGCTGACCCATAACAAGGGAAGGTAGGGAGGGAAGTATAGAAGTTCATGGGATTAGACAAAGGGGAATGAAGGGAAGGGAGGAAGATGGGAATAGGAAAGACAGTAGAATGAATCGGACATAACTTTCCTATGCTCATATATGAATATACTACCAGTATGAATACACTTCATATCACGTTCAACTACAAGAATAGGATCAAAATTGTAATGGGTTGTATCTCATGTATGTATAGTATGTCAAAGTACACTCTACTGTCATGTATATGTAAAAACAACAAATAAAAAATAAAAATAAATAAAATTTTAAAAAACCACCTTCTGATGGAAAAACACTTTCAGAAAAATTGATCTTCATGTCTTTTTGAAAATTTTCAATAGATACCCATATATATATATGTGTGTGTGTGCGTGTGTGTGTGTAAGCAATTATATATAGTTAAATTAGAAAATACTGTATTGTGTAAAGATGAAAGTAAAAATAACCTATAATTCCACAACTTAGAGATAACCCTTGTTAATATTTTATTTAATCATTTTTTAGATATATGTATACTTTTTCTGTTGTTTTTGAAAATTTGGGATCATATTGTGTATGCAAGTTTGTATTTTCTATTTTATGAGAATTATATAATTTTATCTATAATTATGTTATGAGTATTTCCCACTGTAATAAAATCATTTTTCTTTTTCGTGGTGTTGGGGATTAAACTTGGGACTCACATATGCAAAGCAAGTTCTCTACCACCCAGTTACATCCCTAGCTTGACTTCATTAATTTCTAACATGTGGTTGGTATTTAAAGATTCTCTTAATATTAGACTTCTACAATGTTTCTAACTTTTGATACTATTGGTAGCAAGTAAACATGTAAACATCTATGTGTGTTTACACATTTATTTCTGTATAATAGGCTTTTAGAAATAGAATTCCTGCACAAAGGATCTGTTTTTTAAAAAAGTTTCAAATTACAAATTATGTAATTGCTTTCCCCCAAAGAATATAACAGTTAATATTCCTACAAACAGTATATGAAAGTGACCATATCATCTTATCCTTACTAATACTGAAAAGTATAATTTTTATTCTTTGCTTATTAACAGGGTTTGTATTACTTAAATATTCACATTCAGTGGAAGGACATCTCATAAAGAGCATTCAGGCCTGCTTAATGATTCACCTGTTGTCCAACACTGCCATCTGGTTTTGGTATCTCTACGTTTGCCATCATTCTATTTAACCAGCTGCTGCTGCTGCTGCTAACATTTGATAACTGCTTGTTCCATAGCTCTTGAGCTCTTGAGAGGCAGTGTGGTTTCACAGAAAGTAAATCAACTTTGCTATCCAACAGATCTAATTGTGATTTCTGGCTCCCCTGCCTATTACCTGTATGACTTGGGCTAAGCCATATTCTCTCTGAGGTTCAGCTTTTCTCCTAAGATAGTGACAGGGGACCAGCATGCCAGCATTGCTTGTGAATCACATGAGGTAATGCAGATAAGACCATTAGGAAGGCAGTTGGAGCTCTGTAGAAGCTATGTTCTTTCTCACCTCAAGAATATGGTAAGATGAATATCTACTATAGTATTTTATCAGAAATACTATTTAAAGTTGAAAATCTCATGAGAAGAAGTTGGGGGGGGGTAGCAGAAAATACATAATGGAACAAGAAGGTGGGAGGCAGATGTAACTCTACCTAGCTGTCACATAAATGCAGGTGACAAAACTCATTCAATTAGGTGGTTGTGTTAAATGTTAGGGGTAGAAAATGAATTGACTTTTTGGTGGGTAGGGATTGAACTGGGGATTGAACCCAGGGGCACTCAATGACTGAGCCACATCCTCAGCCCTATTTTGTATTTTTTTTTTTTTAATTAAGAGAAAGGGTTTCATTGAGTTGCTTTGAGCCTCACTACTGAAGCTGGCTTTGAACTCGTGATCCTCCTGTCTCAGTCATCTTTCTCCTACACTTTGGAGAAATTATAAGACTTAAACATTTAACATAGCATTTTGTACTCATCCCCTTATTATAATTTTTATTTGTGAAAAAGTCTTTGTAAACTGCAGAAAGAAATAACAATAATAGTAGTATTTTTCATGAAAAACTACTAGTATCTGTATATAAAATCATCCCAATGTAGTTCCTCTTACTCCTATAATGAAAGTTTTGGGGGATGTCCAGAACATTATTTATAGCCATTAATGATCATCCTTAGATAGCCAAGCTGAGGCTTCAGTGACTCCATATTGTAGCTATGATTGTGTGACTCTGACGTTTTCTCTGGCAAAAGTGAACATTCTGATCTCTGTCTCTGATCACTCAGATGTATTGTCATCAACGTCATTTGGCTTTAGCTGGATAGGAAACCCAAAGCAACTGTTCTTAGATTCTCACAGTGTAATCTGAGATGTGCTATCTGCAAAGACTGAACTGGTGATGGGAAACCAAGAGACATCAACTTTCTCCTCATCCTTTCACTTTTTCATTCTCTGTTAGAAAGTCCCCTACCATAAAAAGAAACTTAAAATCTACCTCTTTCCAGAGCGAAGCAGTTCAAATCCTTCATTTATTTTTTCAAAAGGTAAAACATTCGTTATTAATGGATCCAGTGAAAACCTCTTAGCCATAAAATCAGCCACAAGTTTGGGAATAGAATCTTTACTCTTAAAACCTGAAAAGAAGACAATATCATTGTTAGAGTTAGTCGGAGTAAGCAGGAGAATTGGAGAGGAGACTTTCCAATGAAATTAAAATAAAAGTCTGTAAAAAGTGCTACATTCTGTGGACTGCTATTAGTGAAGTCAGACAATGAGCCCTTCAATACCCTTTTGTAGTGCTTTGACTTTTTTTTTTTTTAATTCTCCCAGATAAAGTAGGGTCCTTAGCTAGCTTTCGGGTGCCTATTAGCTCTACACTGAGAAATTACAATACAGATAAGTATGACCAAAGACAAAAAAGCAAAGTTTGCAATTGTCTAAATATGCAGTGAATATAGGCATAAATTATTGCTACAGATTTCCTGTGTCCTACAAAGAATTTTTGTGCCTTATGTAACGAGTATGAAAAGAGCTGATGCTGAAAGATTTATGGGGATACCAGAGTATTCTGTCTTGGGACTTTCTCTCTTCATTAGTTCCACATATAATTAATTTGGAGCCTATAGATACAATAGACATTTTAGTTCATTTAAAAAAATAAATGTTCAATGTAGTAACCCCATTGTTTTTCAAAACCTGGCCTTGTCACTTGTAAAAAGGAGGCAATTCTGAGGTTAATGAAAATTTAGTCCTCAGGCTTAACAACTTACCACCAAAAACTCCTCCTTTCCAGATGCGTCCAGTCAATAGCAGCATAGGATTCATGGAGATGTTTTGGGAATCAGGAGGTATCCCTACGATGACGCTTACACCATATGAATCTTGACAACATAACAGGGCAGAAAGCTGAAATAAAAAAAATCAATATTTTGCATCCTTAAAGTAGATTCTCAGATAGATAGTACCTACTCATAATTCACAGGATATTGGAAGAAGGAAATTGTCTTCTGCTTCATTTCCCATTGTATCTAGGATAGTGTTGCTGCTTGGAGAAATACCCAGAAAGGTGTTTTTTTTTTTTTCAGTGAAAGAATGGATGAATCATTTTATATGTACTTCATTTTTCTTTATAAACTAATAAATTGGCAAATATCATTACACACATATGTAAAGTCTGGGTTTTCACAAAATTTTTCACTGTTTGATCATCACATGATTCTTAGGCAATCTATGAATTCACTATTTGATTTTTTATTTATCTATTAAGTATGTATTTTGAACAGGTTTTTGATTGGTGAATAAGATATAATGATTTTGTCATCAAAATTTGTCTCTTGTCCACTTGGTAATCTCTCTTTTTAGTAAATTCCAATTCTGTTGTCCATTTCTAAAATGGACTTGCTTTACATGATGTTTGCCTCTCTCCAATGTATACGAGTTTTACTTTAAACAGAATCTATTATTCTGGATATTCAAAAGACAGTCCAGGAAACTGTCCCCCTCTAGTCATTTTTTAACATAGTCTGTAGTAAAAGAGTGTGTTAGAATTTCCAAAGATACACATTTTGATTTTGAAGAATGACATTCGGAAGACCAGATCTCCTCAGAGCATGTGGCTAAAAAGCATTTGGCATCTTCAAATAAAGCAACAACCCAGTTCCATGAGGGAAAATAGAAAAAGGGCACAGTGAGAAAAGCTACAGCCTCGGAAAAAGTTGGTCTCTCTTTGAACCTCCATCATCTATGGCATATTATCCCAGGCCAAGTCTGCAAAGAATTTTACTCTCAGGGCACAGATCCCAATTACCAATACCACTAGGTTTTCCTGGTGAACCTCAACAGTTGGGTCTTATTGGTCTCTGGTGACTTTTTCAGCAGAATTCTAGAGAACTCTGGTTAGGTAAAATACAGCTAGAAACGTATTACACACAGGAATTGATATTTGGAATTATTTGAAAGTAATGTCATACATATTCCAAAGATGGTGTAAGAACTGCAAGCTTGGAAATAGTGTTTCATATGCTATCACCAGCTGACATGTATCGAGAGTGACACTGTGATAAATATTTTACTTGCATTATTTCATGTAATCCATACAAAGTTATGAGATACATCTGTCTTAAATTTGGGGAGTGGCAGAAATCTGCTGATTTTTTAAAAGTATTCACTTCAATATATAGATGCTGATGCTCTCTATGTACCAGGCACTGTGCTGTCTCTGTGGTAAAATAAAATGATGTGTGAAGGCAGTCAGTTTCCTTAGGACATATTTTCTGTTGGTAAAATAATAGTTGGCCCCAAATTGCTCTTTTATCCTTTTAACTAGCTAATGATATTTGAAAAAAATTCAGAATTAATTAAAACAAAAAAGTTTACTAAATCATATTTGTTAATAATGTGGAGGAAAATCAAATTTACCAGGTTAAAAAAATTGTATTATGTATATATTTACTTGTTGAAGTGTTTTTTTTTTACTGAAAACCAATAAAGCTACCAACAGCTTGTTTAGTTTTTGAAATATAACTCAGGTGACAGTAACTGGAGAGCTGACCTACTAGGAATATACTGCTTTTTGCAGTGAATAAGTATATTAGTGGTTTTTCCAGATAGTACAGAGGAGGAAAGCATAAGTCAAATCAAGGGAGAATTATTTTTGATCCTGTGCTGAATAAGACAGAGACACATAGAGGGTGCCAGAGGCTGTGGCAGGGGAAAAAGGGCCTGTCATATGTCCCATTCTCTATCCATAGATTTAGAGCTTCCAGCCTGGCTGGACTGTCCCCCCACCCCTGAATAAGGATTCCTTTCTTCCTTTAACTACAGGGCTTGGACCCAGGACCAACCCGATAAGTACCTTTTGGAGTGGGATGTTCAGAATGATAATAATAGTCTTATTGCTATTAGTCCTACCATAGTGATGGCAATATAAATGAGATACTTACTAGGGCCTGACCCTCTTCTAAGTTGTTGAAATGTACTGACTCATATTAAAACACGCAAACGGACATGTTTGACAAGTGAGGATGCTGAGACACAGAGTTGAGCCACTTGCTCAAGGACCCTTAGCTGGTGGACCATTGAATGGCCTCCTGAATTGAATGAAGCTCTATGAACTAGCAGGAACACTGTCACTGGATGCCTCACTTCTTCTATTCTGATTGAGAAATGGGGGCTCATCTCTTCTTCTGGATTGATGTAACAGAACCTTCCATCTATAGTGGATATCCAGAGCAGATCTACTGATATTCCTAATGGAGACTCTGAATAGCCATCTGGATGTGAATCTTAGGCTCAGAAGGACAATCACTAGAGTAGAGTATTGACATTTGAACAAGCTGGAAATCTGAGCACAAATCAAAGAATAGTAAGATTAAATTCCTTATGGGCAGGAATTTAATTTAATAGATACTGGAAAAAATGAATCACTTTCAGACACATATACTTTTCCTGCTAAGTACCAGAAAATATTCTGTAAAGATAAAAAAGGACAAGAAAACCAATAAAGTTAATTTGTAATGGCTCAATTAAAAAATGAACCCTTTCCCTCATTAAAAGAGAAATCTTACTTGAGACAGGCTTGATTAGCTGACAAAATGAAGGATTTCTCATAGCAATAAATTAAGTAATCCAAGTAATAAAAAGAAGATGGAAATCGCTATTCCAAAAACATATTGTTACATAATATTTATATTCTGCTGCATACTCTAGATTGCAAAAGTGAAAAGCTCAAGGCGCGTGAGGGTACATACCATGGTGTCCAGCCGACCAATGACTTCAAAGGAAAAGTCCACACCTCCGTCACTCAGTTCCTTCAACACCTCCTCAATGGGCTTGTTGTAGTCTTGAGGGTTGATGCACTCAGTGGCACCCACTTCTTTAGCTTTTGCAAATTTGTCTTTGTTGATGTCCACTCCAATAATCCTGGATGCTCCAGCTGCTTTACAGCCCATGATAACAGACAGGCCAACTCCTCCCAGGCCAAATACAGCACAGGTGGAACCTTGGGTGACCTGTTTTTGAAAATGCAAAAATGGATTACACAATCACTGCAGTGTCCACGCTGTATAAATTGCAGCCTTGGATGCTCCCAGGAGCTGTTCAGACTGTATCCAAATTGCTGTCAAAATCTCTTTTGGTTACTCTTGCTTCATGTTTAAACAGGGTGAGGAGTCAGTGGCTTTTCAGCTTTGCTACACAGTGGATACACCTAGAGAGCTTAAAAATATCACAATGTCACAGTCCATACAAATTCAATCAGAATCTCTATAGGTGAAATGCCATCCTCAGTCACTTCAATGGGGAGCCAAGGCTGAGAACCATTGAACTGGATGATCTTTAAGCTACAAATGTCAATGACTCTAATCATTTTTTTTCTTTTGAGTTGTGATAGACACAATACCATTTATTTATTTATTTATTTATTTATTTATTTATATTTGGTGCTGAGAATAGAACATAGTGCCTCATGCATGCTAGGCAAGCACTCTACCACTGAACTAAACCACAGCCCCCAATGACTCAAATCTTGAAGAAACTCTCAATGGCTCAAATCATTGATAGTCAGCTTCAGTACATTATACACACACAAGCAATTTAGTGGGGGTAGGGAGTAAGGGATGAAAAAAGTAGACAAGGTCACTCCAGGAGACCAAGAAATAATCCAATCAAGCTACCAATAAGCAACCCCTTCCCCGGTCCATTAACACACAACCAGTAATCACAACCAGTGTGAAGAGAGCAGAAATTAGATGTGAAGCATTTAAGAGTTATTCTGGGCTTAAAGCAAAGCATAAACAACAGATGAAATTCAACTGACAACTTTAAGATAAAATAGGTTGTGACTAATGTGATATTTGTGTGTCTTCATTCCTGAATTAACAAGTAAGCACAGAGGGGCTGGGGTTGTGGCTCAGTGGAAAGATTGCTTATTTAGCATGTGTGAGGCAGGGGGCTCAATTCTCAGCATTGCATATAAAAAACAAACAAATAAAAAACCAAAGGTTCATAGACAACAACAACAAAGAAAAAAAAGAAAGAAAGAAGAAGAAAATTAAAACAACAAAAAAGTGCACAGAACAATAATGCACCATAAAGTTGGACTGTATTTGAATAATGAATGAAATCCATATTTGTGAGTATCCTGTGTGTGTGTGTGTGTGTGTGTGTGTGTGTTTGTTCATGGCAGGGGAGAAGTGCAGCAGTGAAATCCCATAATGGGTGGAAATAACACATTGTTAAAGCTTCATTGCATTTCTCTTTGGATCTGCAGAGTGGGTGGTTTCCAGTTTGAAAGTCATCGGATGAGGCTTTGGAATATATTATTGATCCTAATCCTGGGAGTAAGGTATCCATGGTTTTTGGCTCCTCTAAGGCAAACACTTCATTTTATTTGCTTTGACTGCTTTAGAACCCAGTAGAACCTATTGGCCTGATATGTGTATAGTTACTCTCTAATTGTAGAATGAATAAATGACACCCCAGACATAAAAGTTAGTAGTCCCACAAAGACAGAAATATAAGATAATAATTATTGAAAACGAAATATTTGCTTTTTCTTAACTTATTCTTAACTTAGTATCAACAGCATTTTCATCTGTGATAAACAGGTAAATTTTCTAAGACATGGTCTCAAATTTTTCCGGGGACTATTTTTCTATTAATAATCAACACTACAAACACCCATAAATTAAACACTTTCCTATATATCAGTGTTGAATCCATTGAAAGAGAAATTAGGAAAACTACACCATTCACAATAGCCTAAAAAAATTGGGGAAACAATCTAACAAAACAGGTGAAGACCTTTACAATAAAAACTACAGAATACTAAAGAAAGAAATTGAAGAGGACCTTAGAAGATGAAAAACCTGCCATGCTCTTGAGTAAATGACCATTCTACCAAAATCATTATACAGATTTAATGCAATTTCTATTAAATTTATTTTTTTTGTGTGTGGTGCTGGGGATTGAACCCATGGCCTTATGCATCCAAGGCAAGCTCTCTACCAATTGAGCTATATACCCAGCCTACAATTTCTATTAAAATCCTAATGATATTCTTCATAGAAATAGAAAAAGCAATCATTAAATTCATTTGGAAAAATAAGAGATCCAGAATAGCCAAAGCAATCCTTAGCAAGAAAAGTGAAGCAGGAGGCATCACAATACCAGACCTTAAACTGTATTACAGAGCCACACTAACAAAAACAGCATGGTATTGGCACCAAAACAGATACTTAGACCAATGGTGAGAACAGAGGACACAGAGACAAACCCACATAAATCCGTTATCTCATACTAGACAAAGGTGCCAAAAAAATTCATTGGAAAAAAGATAGCTTCTTCAACAAATAGTGTGGAGAAAACTGGAAATCTATATGTAACAAAATGAAATTCAACCCCTACCTCTCACCTTGCACAACACTCAATTCAAAGTAGATCAAAGGCACTAGAACAGAGACCCTATAATAGAAGAACAAATAGGCCCAAATCTTCACCAGGTTGCCTTAAGAACTAACTTCCTTAATAAGACTCCTAAAGCACAACAAGTAAAATCAAGAAACAATAAATGGGATGGTTTCAAACTAAAAAGCTTCTCAGCAAAGGAAACAATCAATAATGTGAAGAGAGAGCTTATAGAATGGGAGAAAATCTCATGCACTTCAGAAAAAGCATTAATCTCCAGGATATATAAAGAACTCAAAAAACTTAACACCAAAAACAAACAAACGAACAAACATATAACCCAATCAATAAGTGGGCTAAGGAACTGAACAAACACTTCACAGAAAAAATACAATTGATCAACAAATATGTAAAACAATGTTCAACATCTCTAGCAATTAGAGAAATGCAAAACTACACTGAGATTCCATCTCACTCCAGTCAGAATGGCAATGATCAAGAATACAAGCAACAATGAATGTTGGAAAAGTACACTCATACATTGCTGGTAGGACTGCAAATTGGTGCAGCCATTATGGAAAGCAGTATGGAGATTCCTTAGAAAACTTGGAATGGAACCACCATTTGACCCAGCTATCCCACTCTTGAAATTATACACAAAGGACTTAAAATGCAGCATACTATACAGACACAACTACATCAATGTTTATAAAGCAGCTCAATTCACTATAGCCAAATTATGGAACCAACTTAGATGCCCTTCAACAGATGAATGGATAAAGAAAAGGTGGTATATATACATAATGGAATATTACTCAGCCTTAAAGAAGAATGAAATGATGGCACTTGCTGGTAAATGCATGGAACTAGAGAATATAATGCTAAGTGAAATAAGCCAAACCCTAAAAACCAAAGGGCAAATGTTTTCTCTGATATGCGTATACTAATTCAAAATAAGGGGTCATACTAAGGAAAAATAGAGGTACTTTGGATTAGGCAGAGGGGAGTGAAGGGAGGGGAGGGGTTTGGGGGTAGGAAGGTCAGTAGAATGAATCGGACTTATGTACCTATATGATTACATGACTGATGTGATTCTACAACATATACACCCAGAAGTATGAGAAGTTATACTCCATTTATGTACGATGTGTCAAAATGCATTCTACTGTCATGTATAACTAATTAGAACAAATAAATAATTTCAAAAATTAATAATACATACAAAATCAACACTACGAATTCATGAAAATAATCTCTGATTCCTATGAGAAATTGCTCCCTTTTTGGTCCTTACTGTCCTAATGTTAATGGGTTTCATTGGCCATTGTCAATACTACCTTGGCAACTTTGACTGCTGAGCCATAACCGGTTGTAAATCCACAGCCGATGAGGCAAACTTTCTCCAGCGGGGATGCTGCATCAATTTTGACCACGGCCATCTCATCCACCACCGTGTACTGGCAGAAGGTGCTGGTGTGGATGAAGTGGTTGACTGGCTTCCCCCTGCAGGTGAACCTGCTGGTGCCATCTATCAAGGTCCCCCGGGGTTGTTGTAAACTGATCAATGGAACACACAGACACACAAGGGACATGAAACAGGAGCAAACAAATGTGCAACAACTTTGTTAGCTCTGCAAGGAGAGTGTAAGAGACCTACCTGCTTTTCAAACAGACATTGCCTTCTGGGTGTTTACAAACTTTGCATTTTCCACACTGGGGATTAAAGAGGGGGATGACTTTATCACCTGGAGGGGAGAAAAACAAATTTTTCTTAAATTTCTGTCCAGGAATTAATAAAGCAAGAACTTAACCTTACATGAAACGATGTGTATCTTTTAAAAGGCTACAAGAAATAGCGTTCAATCAACCATGCCTTTCCTTATTTGGGTTTAAGATGTATATGAAGATTCCCAAAGAAGAAAAATGAATGTAGAAAATAACATGGATTTTAAAAACTATTTCCACTACATTCATAGCTAATGTTTATGGCACACCCTGAATTTTCCTGGAGACTTAACACACATCATCTCATTTAATCCTTACTTAATTAAACCTGAAATATTCCTGCTGTAAGTATAGATATAAATTTCAGTTGCAAATAAGTTGTCATAGTTCTACCAGATGCTGGGAAGATCTTATATTTTGTACAATAGTTATAATAAAACAAAAATGAATAAAATAAAGTAATAAATGCAATAAAACATTTTTAGAATAAAAATAAAACAAAACTTGGCCATAAGTTACAATCAAAATGAGAATTTCAGCAACCACTTTTTGACTTTTCAAAGTGACTGTGCTTATCTTTTTTATGAAAGGAATGCTTTAAAAAAAATCTTCATTCCTTTTTGAGAAAGACTAACAAAAATGGGACAAAGAGCTAAAAAAATTCCTGTGAAAATCTCAACTCTGAATGTTCTCTCATTGAGAACAAGAACTATCAACTGTTTTAGCTGATAATTTATTAATGATCTATTTTTCTTGCTATAGAGAAAGCAAGAGTTAAAAGTAAGAGTGTCCTTTTGTTATTAATTTATTTCCATTTTTTGGCTTAGAAAACTAAGTCAAAAATCAAACTGTTTATTTATTATTTGCTTTTCAGAGTTTAATTAAGTATTTGAAAAGAGGGAGGCTGAGTCTACTGGCTAAAGTGATCTTTTTAGAATTAAACATAATTGGTTTTAATCATCTATACTACCTATCCAACCAGACCAAGAAAAACGGTTGGCCCATTACATTTTATAGACAAACTTTATGTGGGGATGATGGCATGAAAATTTTCTGTTTATTTATCATTTAACTCCAAAAGCATGTTAATATAAAATAAAATAAAGATAAAACAAGTATTAAAAATAAAATAATTAGGAAAGGTAGCAGAATACAACAGTTACTAATAGGGCATTATGTAAAAATGTGGATGTGTAACTGATGTGATTCTGCAATCTGTATTTGGGGTAAAAATGGGAGTTCATAACCCACTTGAATCTAATGTATGAAATATGATATGTCAAGAGTTTTGTGATGTTTTGAACAACCAATAAAAAATTAAAATAAAATAATTAGCCATTTGCAACCAGTCACCTTTAACTTGGAGTAAAGATAATAAAAATGATATGGTTTATGACCGATGCCTTCTGCCCTTTCTTTGGTTTCCTTCCATCTAGTGTGTTTTATTTGTTCGGTGTTTGAGAAGGAAGGCCATACTGGAAAAGGAAGATCGTGTTGACTCAGTCCTAGGCTCACAGCCTAGGACTTAGCACAGAAGTAATGGTTTCCATAAGCTGATCTAGAGTCTCAGGATCTAGACTTAGGATTTTTCCCCTTGCCCCATTTGTAGTTCTAAAATGGAAGGTATGAAGTCATGACTCCACTCTGGCAGGCTCTGTGTCTCTTTGGATGCTCAGATACCCCAGCCACTAACCTGGTATTTAGTAGCTACTCAATAAATAGTTGTTGAAGGAGAAAATACAAGATCATCAGAATGTACCCTGCCTGAGTCAGACCAGGGAGAAAGGGAAGGAGGGAACCTCTCTAGCCCACCTCATCTGTGAGCTTGCGCCAGTTTTATGGCACTTATTGCTTCTTTTTCCTCATCTGGTTTGGATGATCTTGGGATCTTGAACTAAAGCACGTTCCCGGAATGTGAATTCTGTACCTGGTTTTACTGAAGTCACCCCTTCTCCAATGCTCTCTACAATGCCAGCTGCCTCATGGCCTAAAATCACAGGAAGAGGCCAATGGAGGTTTCCACTGACCACATGGTCATCTGAGCGGCAGATTCCTGTGGCCACCATCTACAAATTAAAGGTCCAGTGATTAGGTCCAGAGAAGATGATGACTCTCAGAAGGACATAACATATCCACATGTGTGAAATTCTGCTTCTGAAAAGTTTTCAAGTCTTGCTAATTGTCCCCCTACTCTCCGAATGCAAAACACTGTTTGTCCTCAAGATTGTTCAAAACCCTTTTCTACCTTCCTTTCCTGAATTAAATAATTTAGAACAATCAATCCTGAAATATTGTGGTACGTGCATGATATACAAGAATGCATGCTTTTTTGGAAGGAAAAATTGCAGATTATCACCAAGAAAATATTTAAGGTTAATTGATTTTGATACCTTGTATATAATCCCTTGCATTTCTGCATGGATGCATAAATTCTTTTTTGTTTTACTGGGATTATACTGTACATGCTCTTGGGTTACTTTTCAAAAAATGAACAATATATTTATAGCTTGACTTAGCAATAATTGTAACACATTATATGAACAACAATATAAAAAGTGCCTGTTAATGGATTTTTTTGGTTGTTTCTATTTTGAATAATCTCTGAATTTTTTTTTTCAGAGATGGTATCAGGGATTAAACTCAGGGGTACTCAGCCACTGAGGCACACCCCCAGCCCTATTTTATATTTTATTAGAGACAAGGCCTCACTGGGTTGCCTAGTGCCTCCTGGTTGCTGAGGCTGGTTTTGAACAGGTGATCCTCCTCTTAGCCTCCTGAGCCGCTGGGATTACAAGTGTGCACCACCACACCCGGCTCTGAAAAATTTTAACCTAAAATTAAATATAAGTAAAAAAAAATCACCTTAATACGAACTTCATGGGCCTTAGGGGGTGCAACTTCCACCTCTTCAATGGAAAAGGGTTTCTTTTGCTCCCAAAGCACAGCTGCTTTGCATTTTATTACCTGGGAAATCAAACAGAAAGATGATACTCTCGAAATAAGGAATTAGTTCTTCTCACTTTTGTCAAACATCCATCCCCCCCTTCACCTATTGTGTCACAAAGTGCTCCATAGAAACGAATATGTATGATTTACAAAAACATTTTTTAAAAATAAAACTTTCAAAAATGTGTGAAGCATTACCACAGGAGAGAGAATCATAATTAACTGTAAGACACAGTTTTTTAGGCCATCCTTACAGATATCCTAATGTCCTGAAATCGGTTGTTTGCCTGCGACTTGTTGACTTGTATATGAAGTTCTGATCATTATGTTTTCTCACTTGCTCAATTTCTGCTAAAGTCCAAGGGATCTGACTTTATAATAACTTCATATTTCTCTTGCCACATATGATGCCTTTTTTCCCCCAAATGGCCTCTTCTCCTCCTCTAATTTCCTTTTTCCCATGGTCAATGGCAAAACAAATATGAGGGTACTTGAAAATAATATACTAGTTGTAGGTGTGATTATTGGGTGTCCATGATGTGGCAGGCACATGGTGGTCTGTGCAAGTTTTACCATCTTTAAACCTGCCAAGATTGCTACCAGGAAAATATTATTGGATTATTGCCTTGTTTTGTATTTGAAAAGATTGAAGCTAATTGATTTAGTGATTGAATAATTTTTCCAAAGCTACAAAGTTGGCTGTTAAGAAAATTAAGATCAATCCAGCTTTATCTTCAAAGTGGAGTGAAAAGAAAACAAACAAAAAACTAGATAACAACAATAATAGCAGTGACTAAAATACATGGACTTATTTCAATGTACCAGATGCAATTCTAAATGTCAATAGTACAAATTTATTAAACTCTCAACTACCTTATGAAGTTGATGTTATTTCTAGCACCATTTAGCATTTGAAGAAAACAAAATGCAGTGTAAACATACATGAAAGGTTTTCAAAGAGTGAAGTATTGGCATTCCACCCGAAAGGATAGATTGCTTATTATCATTTTCATTGATATGATTTGTTTACAATTTTTCTCTATGAATTTCCTATTTTTTTCCAGCCAAGTTTTGGCAAACGTAAATTTTTCTTTTTCCCCAAGAACTTTTCTTTTTGAAATATTGTAAATACAAATGAAAAACCACAAGATGGAATCAGAACACTGGCAACTGTCAAGTGGTCCCAGTGTGATCAATATGGGGTTGCAGTGCCACACAGTGTATAGAGAACCCTCAGAATCTGTAACGAGAATTACCATAGTGAGATATTGTACGTGCAAGCCACTCTTCAAACAACAAACACGTTGGAAACAGTTGTATAGGCTTTTGCAATTGAGCCATTAAACAGTATGAATTAGATATATTGAATGACTGCATGTATTTCTCTGTACCTCAATCAGAATTTGCATGTTGATGCTGTCTTTCTGAAAATTGATGATTCTAATGCTTTGAGAGCAATATGCCTTTTGTCAGAGATTTTGACAGGCTTAAAAGGAAATTTCAGTTTTCTGAATCAAATTCCTCTCATAAAACTTTAGTCAAACTTGACTTCCCCGTGTTTGTAAGAAGAACAAGATTACAAAGGATATCATTTAAATTATGGTGTCTCAATATAAAGATAACCTTTGATGACAGACATTTCCAATGTTAGGTAGATTTGACAATAAGTTGACTTGGAATTAATTATCACTTTATTGCAAATTTATTTAAGTAGGAAATAAAGATATTAATAGACTCATTCTACACACTCTACACATTGTTGAAGTTATTTAGGAATAGTTTATTTTCATTGTAGTTCAGTAAGTATCATATATCGAAACAAACATTGCATATTGCATTAATATATATTATTTCTAGTTTAATTAATTTTAGATTATTCATCAAAAACTGTATCCTTTTACATGTTATGCTAATAAGAGCATATGTCCAATAGTAAATCTTTTTTGCTTACTTTGCCTGCTGTGCTCATGTTTTTTCGGTCTTCTCTGCCTTCCAGGAGACTGAAGAATACCTGCAGACGTCTTCCCTGCACCAGTATATACAGCCTCTGGGTTGCAAGGGTATTTTGTTTGCTTGAGTGCTAGTGGATTCTGCACGTGATATGGGTTTTTAAGCCACGCCTATCAGCTTATACTCAGACCAAGTTAAGTTAGAAAGCAAAGGACACTGACCTGTAGTGAAAAAAAAAAAAACCCTCGATTTTGTAATGTGCCCCCTGTACATAACATTTTGTTTCCATTAGGTTAAATATTTTCTTACACACTCCGTCCCCTCATTCCATGTGTCCCCTCTCTCAGTCCCACTCAGGTCCGAGTTCTCTTTTCCCTTGTCTGCACCAGACTCCAACTTTGAATCTTCCTGCTGCAGTTAGGGAGGAGAGGAGTAAGTCAGCAGGGAGATGAAGCAGGACAGGCAGAGCCAAGGGCCAGAGGATCGTATCTGATACAAGTTGCTCCTTCTATTTATAGCAGAGAAGCAGACACACAGTCAGCCACAGCAAAGCTGCTCGCTGTCCCTAGCATTTCTGTTGCATACAACACCCACCAGCATTGACTGACAACCTCCCGGTGTCAGGCACTAAGCTGGGGGTCTAGGGGCAAAGTGATGAGTCAGAGATGGCCTCTGCCCATGCTAAGGGGCAGTTTGGGGCAGTAATTTTGGCCTTTGGCCTGTTCCATCCTAGCTATGTGAGCTAGGACTTAATATGTTATTATTCTTTGCCGTGGCTTTCTTGTCTGTAGGGTGAGAATGAATAACAGCACCACTTCTAGAACTATGGTAAATAAATGAAAAAATTATGCAAATCAACTCTCATGGAGGCTGGCAGGTGGGAGAACACTCAATAAGTACTATCTACAATTATTACCCATAAAGGGAAGCTCGGGGTATATTAAGGGAGAAAGGCAAACAGGTAAACCAGTCATTACCTGGCTTATCAAGGGAAGAGCATCCTCACTGGAAGACTCAGAGGAAGCTTTTAGAAAGCAGACATTTGAGTTAGAGACTAAAGATTGATCATTTTGGCTAACTGACAAAAAAAAATTCACTTGGACATTTCTGTTGTCTTTTGTTCAATGCTATGAGTTCAAGAAAGAGAATATGAGTTTGATTTTTTTTAATCAAATCTCAAGTCTTTTACCAATACCCAGAGACCACAGTGCATATACCTGCTTAATTATATGTAGTCTGTCAACACATATACATAAACATAAGCTGTATATTTCTCTAGAGTTGTCAAAGGAACAAAGATGTTGACTGTGTACAACTTTGATTATGCAGGTGCAAAGAGTCAACTAGGGGTACACAAAAGGTAAGAAAGGTCTGTGTCTCACTGTGATCAGATGATCAATGAACAGGCATTAATTCTAGAGAATGGCCATCAATCTTCTCTCTCACCACACATCTTCATGTCCACTTGCTCCAAACTTGAAAGACTCCAGATGGCTTTTTACAGAGTAATGGACAGACACAGAATGGATTCAGATGTTATTTGAATTCTTAATAAATTGTTAGTTACTCTGTGAGGCATAAATTTACAGGAACCAAATGGCCAACTATTGTGTTTCCAGAACTCTACTTGGAGTTTTTCATACATTATCATAGATATTTATAACCTTTATAATACATTACAAGAAATTATGATTATGATTCTCATTTTACAGGTGAGAGAAAAGAAGCTCAGAGATTCCAGGTCTCTAAATGACCTTTTTAAGACAGATTGGCCTCAAGAACAGAACTGTATGCTGGGTGGTGTTCCTGAGAGATTTATAGAAGGGATATATTATGAAATCACACAAATATTAAAGGATAAGATGTGGGGGGTATATCTTGAACAACTGGACTAATTGTTCAATGAGGGGCTAATTGACTCTCTCTCTCTCTACCCTCTTTCTCTCTCTGAATGAACTAAGACCCCAATTTTTCTGTCTTTTCAAGTAGAGTTCCTCTATCATTCAGGTGGGTCAGGTGGTCAGCCTAGGCCTTATGAGAAAACATGTTCACCTGTCCAAGCCCAAAGAATGATCTAAGGTACATAAGGAACAGAAAAAAAGTGAGGCTTTACTTTAATGACAGTCTAGCAAGATCAGGTGCCTGGTGTCCAGAGACCCCCAGACTGGGTACAACCACTGCTTTATCTCCTAGAGCACAAGATTCCTCCCCAGTTCCTCATTGGCTGAGTACTATGGGGTGCACAATCTTCTTGAATGTGACAGGTTTTAGTATCTCCTACTGGGTTACTTAAAAGAAATATACCTTTAGTTATCCCCACCTTCCTTTGTTCTCTTGTGACAGGAAAGTCTCCCTGGATCGAGTACCTTTTGGCATATATACAGTTTATCTCTGTTGGTCAGGTAGGGCCCCTTTTTTCTCATCTGTCAAAGGGCTGTAAATCTTTACACTGAATGTTAACTTTCCATCCTGCTTTCCCCTCCAGCTGCCTTTCTTACACCCCAAGTCTTTTTACATTTTAAAGCTAAATACTATCTTTTGAAAATGGACCACCAGATTTTTTAATTTCTCAGAGCCTGATGTTTAGTCCCATGTTCAGAGTTGTCATGAAGCTGGTAAGTGGCCACAGCAAAATCCTAAGTCCCATCTGTCTGATTCAGAAGCCCTTCCACTCTTCTGAAAAGAAGGGAGTGGGACTGGCGAGAGTTTAAGACATTCAGCTGTCTACTCACAAAAGCAGCCCCCACATTTTGTAAGGTCTAAGAAAAAAACAATATAACTGGCAAGAACTTCAGGAATCATTCCATCCAAATTCCTCATTTTATTGGATAAAGGACTTGGCAAAGCAACATGGTTAATATTTACTTAAGAGATATTTGGATAGAAAAAAAGTACATTTGTTCTTGTGGGTGCATACAGAGTCGAAGAGCTTTCAAATATTGTGGGTTCAGGCAGGATAAGGAGCAAAACCAGCCTTCTGGCTGCAGGCCCACCCTTCCCTCAAAAATCGATGTGTTTAATCTACCCAAATTCCACACTATAAATCAAGAATTTACTTAATATTTTGATTTGATTTGAAAGCCCAAATCGGTGAGCATTAAAATTACCTTCTTTCCCCAAATTTAAAAAAATATATTGCCAAACTGGACCCTCATTTTGATATGAAGAGAATGGGTAAAATGTTGGAAATGCTTGTTTATAGATACCACATGAAAGGTCTTAGAGATAATCTCAGAGAAGCCAAAAAGCAAAACTGAACAGATATTCTTGGAAGTGTCTTTTAAATTTCAAATGAACAAAGTCTAAATATTCAGTGACATGCTGTAGATCAGCCTGATGAAGTCTATGCACATGATAACTTTTAAGATGATGCAGAAACAATAGCATTATAGGACTAAAATAATGATAAATGGCATGAATTTCATAATTTCAACATTATAAAATCATAAAAAATATAAAAATGCATATCAGGGATGTGTATAATATCTAAACAGGAAATAGGATAAAAATATGGTGATTTTTTTATGACAGGGTATTGATTTTATTAGCCATCACATTATATCACTAATAGCTAGAATTTAACAGATGATTGCTTTATTAAGTGCATTACTTAATATTGACAAAAAATTCATGTTAGAAAATTAGTATTAGAAATCACTCTTCATGAAGAAACTGAGAATGAGAGAGATTAAGCAAATTCCCTGAGGTAAGAATGCAACAGGTTTCCCAGTCCTTGCCTGAATTGAAGTTCCTAATGAATAATAATGATAATAATAACAATAACAACTAACAGTTAGGTGGCACTTAGTGTGTGCCAGGCTCCTAAGTGCTTTACATTTACTCAAATTGGTCCTCTAAGTTCGCTACTTATTATTCTCTTTTGTAGATGAGGTAACCAGGGTCCCCCAGCCAGTCAGTGGCCAAATCAAGGTTGGAACTCAGGATCAGAACAGTCCAGCTCCAATGTTTTCAGGCTCAAGTGTTTACTGCCCTGGTCCCAATGCTTTGAGGAAATAAGGAAGGGAAGACAAAGAAAGAGAAAAGTAAGAAAATGAAGAAAAATTAAAATGATTTGTGATAAGTCCAGACCAACTTCCAATGTTGCAGTCTGAAAGAATGGGAGAGAAATAAGTGCTTTTATTGGCTAAGAAGGGAGGTTGATTTGAACATGTTAAATTTTAGGTAAGATTGAGATATTCTAAGTGGCATATTCAGTTGGCTGTTGGGAAACCTGGGCGTGTTATAGTTAATGTGAAAATGACTAATACTTAGACTGAGACCTCTAATTCTTAATTCTCGATCTGAGAGAAAATCTACAGAGAAGAGCAGTGTTTAAGAAAACTGGCAATAAGAAGTGAAGAGATGAAAAACAGCAATTGGAAAATTACATGGAAGATGAAGGAACAGTTATAAAGAACTCTGAGCAAGAAGTCAAGAGGAAAGACTCTGAAGAAAAGCACCAGACTTGGTTCCCAGAGGTTCTTTATGCCACTGAGGGAGTGGTGGGCCTGCAGCCAGAAGGCTGGGTGACCAGACAGGAAAGGATGCAGAGCCACTCATTTGGAGGAGTTTGTCGGTGACCGGAAGGAAGGAAGGAAACAGGAAGTGGCTGGAGGGAAGACTGGAAGGCTGTAGAGGTCCCTTCGCAGCAGTGAGTAACCTGTGCAACTGAGGCTGTTGAGAAAGCTCTAGTCAGAATGGAGCTTCTGTTGGTGCTGGAGAATGGGCAACCTGTGGAAAAGGGGCCCCGGTGGAGGCATTCAGATTTCTAAAGTGGAAATGCTTTATGTGGGGCAACTGGAAGGAAGAGGGGATGAGTATAAATGGGCCTTAAAAGAAACACAGAGAAATGTCACACAGCTTATTTACCTGTTATTTCTCCCTGTTTACCCATCTGTAGTCTGCTCTATGCTGCTAGGGTTGTGATTCTACAGACTCAGTTTTCCAGACTCTTTTGACATCTGGCTTTGCTAATGGTTTTGCCAGTGAGAGGTACTAGAGCGCTATGAAAGCAGGAGG